TTCAGGCACTAACACATCACATTTGGTTGTAGAGTCAATAGCAAAATGTTTATCCTTGGTTTCCTACAGAGTAATCAGGGCAAGGATGAGGTAGCAAAAACATTTTTGGCAAGATAAAAAAGCTAAAATACGGCTCCAAATCTTAAGTTGCTATGATGTTTCCTAAGTATGACAAGACAGCAAGCATCTAAGCAAGTAACAACCCAATATTGTTACTAAAATAAATATAAAACTATCACAAGATGCTAAGAGGAACATAGGTAACTGCCTAACAGTGAATCAGGCCACTGGTTCTTTCAGCAAGGTATTGACAGCTCTGCATGACTTCAGTTATGATTCTCCTGGGGATTCAGGGGATAGAAGCCTGGCCCTCTGCATGCAAAATGTGTGTTCTGTACCACTGAACTATGCCTCTTCCTGCTAGATACATACAATATACATCTATAGTGTCAGGACCACTTCCTGAAAATCTTAAAAGAAAAGCCTTTGCCAGTATTCTAAAGCCTCAAAATAGCTTTTCACCAGCACTACAAAGGTTTGCAGTCCTTCTACAAAGTTAGACCCTCGATTTCTCAAACTGAGTGCATCTCAGATATTTCAAATAGCCTCTGTAATGTAGTGCAGACTTAAAAGCACTAGGACAGCACGGCCTATTGGCTCACCCTATCAAAAGGGCATGCTGCCATGTTCTGTAGCAGCTGCAGCCCTGCAGAGTCTTCACATAGCACAGCCTTCCTTTTATTCATAGTTGATTCAAACCACCAATTCACAGCTCAGGCTGCTTTAAAATATCTTCTGCAGTTCAAAGAACAGAAAAATAAGCTACATACTGTAACATTTGGTTAGAAATAATGACTTCCCTCCCCCCCACCAAACCTTTACCATTGAGAACAACTGACTTTTGTTGTAACAAATTTTACTGGCAGCTGGCCCGTACTTTCCTCAAGCACAAATAGTAGTGTTCTTTGACTAGGACAACTGTCACGCAAAGATTGCCAAAAAAGGAGGATGATAACCAAGGAAAGTGTTAGGCCTTTCACACAAAACCTTGGGAATAGTACAGGTTTACACTGAGAAATCTTTCAGTCACTCTGATAGCATTTCAGACAAGAAGGATGGGTAAAAGATGCTGAAGTCTACTGTACCGTAATAGACTGCAGACATGAAGGTACACACAGTAGGAAATTCTGCAGCCTTAAAAGCTGGCCTGAACAACATTGAGTTTAATGAAATATTACCTACATTTTCAGTTGCAAGAATGCTCTCTTGAGAAGCAGCCAACACTTGATTCCTTCTTTATATGAATGCTTTGTAAAAGCATTGGGGTACAATTTGTACAAGTAACATCTCAGTGGCAAAGTACCCAATGTCTTTGGCATAAATGTGCTTTTCCATATTCTTCTGTACTATGCACAAACCACTGACCATGAACACAAAGGGGACACATTAAGATTCCTTTAGTTTCTTAAAAAAATGAAACCCCCTGATTTGCAGAAATACTTAGATGAGTAAGTTTAGAGCAGATGGAACAGGAGTTTCAAGTGATGTAACAAAACCACCAGAATGACCCCTATACTTAATGCAACATTTATTTTGTGGCAAACCATATTCTAAGTGCTATACTAAAGTGCAACTGTGCATGCACAGAGTTTGTAGAAAATGCACCACACAAGTGTAATCAATAGCTTCACCTTTAAGTCATACAAACATAAGAATTTTATTAGAATCACTGATCCCTTTATAAGCCCAGTGCAGCTTGCATCAGAATGGAAAAAATATTTAAAACTGTAACAAAACAACATGTCAAAAAAAGAGACCACCATCAAATTTCAGCAATTTGCTCACTCCATCATGAAAAAGAATGCAGAATAACCCTTCCTCAAATCAGTTTCAAAAGGTCACCCAGAAAAGGAAAGGCTCTTTGGAAAGACTTAAAGCAAGAGGTCCCCAGTCCCTGGTCCGTGGCCTGTTAGGAACGGAACCACATAGCAGGAGGTGAGCAGTGAGCGAGCGAGCAAGCAAAACTTCATCTGTGGATGTAACCTCCACAGTTCCCCTTCTCCTTTCGTTCAGAGGCTGCTGCGACACCAAAGCACAAGAGAAGGAGGTGGGACGTCAAGAGTGCTCAGACCAACTGAATCCAATCTTTTTCAAATGAGCTAAAGTTTTTCTGACAGACACCTTGTTTCTCCAGTGAGATGATGATGTGAGCTGCCCCTCAACTGACAGTATCCAATAACATGTGTGGACTGTGGCTTGGGCATAGGGTAGGCACTCCAATAGAAAAGGTGCAATAACTGAGCCTTGGACCAATGGGAGCAGGCAGATTGAGGTGAGGGGGCAGGGTGGGCCTATCCATTCCCCCCCCCCGGTTTTCCCATGAGTGTGTGAACCCTACTGTAAACTGCACATTCAAGGATGTAGTTGCGCGCTCCTTATGAAAATCTAATGCCTGATGATCTAAGGTGGAGCTGAGGTAGTGAGTTATATAATTATGTCATTATATATAACAATTCTATACTACTACTAATACTACTACTACTACTACTAATAATAATAGAAATAAAGTGCACAATAAATGTAATGTGCTTGAATCATCCTGACACCATTCCCTCTGCCCCCCATCCATGGAAAAATTGTCTTCCATGAAACCAGTCCCTGGTGTCAAAAAGGCTGGGGATCACTGACTTAAAGGATTAATTCTGTCCTCCAGACAGAGGGGATTGCAGTAAAGGGTCTGCTACTACCTGTTGATAATTTTACCTCATGCATGAGAGGAATAATCACAGCAAGACTTTATAAGAAATTCTTACCAGCCGCTTGCATTCTTACTGGGAGGGACTACTTCTAAGATATGTTAGAGGTATGAAGGGTCAGCTGAGTACATTTTCATCTCTTGTATTCCCTGGAAGTGCACTGGTGCTATCTTACACCAGCTGCAGCTTCTGTGTCATCTTGAAAATAGCACTGCATACTGCATAATACTTCCTTTCGTATTAAGACTGCCCAACTATCATCACTGTCATTTTGTCTGAGTTGACCCTCAGTTTGACAGCTTCCACCTGCCCACAGCTTCTACACAAGTTTATGTTTTCCCTGGAGATGTTTAGTCTAACAATATGATTTCCCTTTATTTGGATGAATTTTACTTGTTGCAACCTGAGGATGCAGACAATGTGTTTGATGAGATTTGGCTTACCTCCTGTATGCTCAACCTTGGCCTAGATGGCTAGGAATAACACAATTAGTGAAGTTCAAGTTTAGTGAGATTCTTTTATTTTCATCTCTGAATGAGTTTCTTGCTATTCCCATTCCTGGTTGCAACCTTTCCTCTTTTTAAACAGAAGTGTGCATTTTAGTGCATATTTTTTTAAAAACACACCCAAAAGGCACACTGCCTCCCAAAAAATAAAGAATGGATGTGCAATTTTTCAAAAGGAGAGTTTCTTTTAAAAATGCATACTTTAAAAAAATGACCATAAGAACTAGCAAGCATCGCCTACATATTACACTCCTGTTCATGTTTGTGTTTGCAAATGGAGCAACCCTGAAATAAAAACGAATCCAAATGAAATTCTAAGACTTTTCAAATTGCGGCTTATTATATCTGCCAAAGGAGGGCTGACCAGCTGAACCCCTGGGAGGTGATTCAGAGATCTCTCTGCAACCACGCCTACAGAAATTGGACCCCAATGATTGTGCTAGTTAGCTGCCAGTTGTGAACCTTCCCGTTGGGAAAAGATGCTTGAACATGTGGCAATGATTCAGATCCAGGCATTTTTTGATTACACTGTATCCATTTCAATTTGGCTTCCATTTTCAGTTGTCCTGATATCTGAAAAAAGCCTTGATTGCCCCAATAACAGAAAAAGGATAGGGGAAAGGTGGATTTCATACAACTTTGTCTTATTTTATCCAAAATTTATTTTTGTAGATCATATCTCTTCCTAATTTGGGTCAACAAGTTTAGGAGAGAGACACATAATAAAGCAATACAACAGCCTGACAAAAGTGTCATAATCCTTTATGTTGACTATCTCCTTAAAACCGTTTACTGCTGTTATCAGAGTGCCAGGCAGGGGTTTGGATATGAACTCACAAACCAGTGAAACTATAAGCACAGTAGTCTGTGCTGTGAGCTGTGTTACTACACTAAAGGGTTGTACAAAGATACATTTTGATCACAGTATTTTTATCCTGGATCAGATTTCTATTAAAATATTTAGAAATTATTCACTGTACCAGTTTTCTGAAAACAAATGTCTTTCTGATAATTTTCTTATGATTTAAAAAGCATATTGTGCAAGTGGCAATAAACAGACACTCCAGAGCACTAATGTATCATATACAGATGTACACAAAAAATCATTTCAAATTAAAAGGTATACCTGAGAAAAACTGTTTGAGACTGCAAACTGCAGTCAATGTAGTCAAAATGTAACTACCCACTTTTTATTTCCGTTGCCACCTTCCCAGAGACCATGAAAAGTTTCATGACAGCTCCTCTAGAAAGAGAGAGTGAAGGAAAGGGGCTAAGGATCTGGAAGCCACTCCCCACCTCTACCAGGTCTACACAACCTCTAGCAGCAAGACTCTGCTCAATGAACTCAGAGGCCTCTCTACCAAAGACAGATTTTTTTGAAGGGTGTTGAGGTAAACATCACGTCCACTAGTTCCAGGATGTTTGGAAACTTCCAGTCTCAAAGATCTCCAATCTAATGCATAGCAATTCCAAAAGTTTATGGCATGAAAGCACAACTAGCCAGATGCTTGTGAACAACCTTCCTTGACTTTAAAAAATAAGACTGAAAACATTAATTTGTGACTAAAATCGTCCAATTCAAATGTACATAAAATGTAACATCAAATTCCAAGTAAGAAGAGATAGAAAGTATAAAATTTCCGAAGAGACATTGAAGTCAAATATAACAAAGGTATTTGATTAAATAGCGTATTCAATTATGTATTAAGAAAGTATGATTTCTTACTAAACAACTTACTAAATATCTCTCCTCTTGCCTCATGCTTGGAGTGCGGATCATATGGTTCTGCTCCCCTCTCCAGTCTCCAAAACGACGAAAAAAGTAGTTGGATAAAAAACGGTTGATGGGATCTCTAATAATATTGATGTATACAGGTTGATCTCCTCCAAACCTGACAAAACAGAAATAAAGAAAAATCAGAAGGTGGCAGGCAAACACTTCAAATATTAGAATCTATTATTTGAAAGGATGGGTTGCTTCAATTCAAAAGGAAAGAAAATCTATCTGCAATATTATTTCAAAAGCTGACTGGTTAAGACCTTTTTTATATCTGAAGGTTTTTAAATCAGGGGTTAAACAGTAGACATATCAGTATTGGAAAGGTACATAGTAATAAACTCAATTTATTCCACAGAAGATTTCTAGAGAATCTCATACTGAAGATAAGGCACAGCTGTGTGAGTTTGAGCTCAACTGAACAAGTATGTAGCAAGTATCCAAGTTTCTACCAGTATAATAACAAACACTTTAGATTAACATAGTGACCATGTTTAATATACACACTCATACACTGTTCCTGTATAGGGGTCTCAGTGATTTTATTTCTAGACAAACAGCTAACCATCTAGTTATTTAAACAATAATAATTTAGCTTTCCTAGACCATCCACTATCACAAGTGAGTTTTAAACAGCAAGTAATGCCTGTGTTGGAAGCATAAATACCTACTTTTCAATATGTTATTTCATGTTGGAGGAGAACAATGAATTGCTCATTGGAAGAGTTTTTAGCATTCCTTGTCTCAAAAAGAATGAGCATACAGAGCGCTATAAACTATTTTTAAAAGCAGACCAATATTAAAAACCCAGAACTGAGACATCCTGTTATATAACAAATAAAACATCTCACTGATTTCCAAGCACAACATAACACTCAAGTCTGTGATCCTAAGTGCTGCTATTCATATGTAAGTTCAGTCGAACTGTCAGACAATCTCTGTGGCTCAAAAAGCATGACTAGCCTGCAAATATGAACTAGCCGTCAGAACTTTCACATATGCAAGCACTTGCAAAAGTTTGTTAGGGGTGAAAATGGGGAGAATGCACTTCAACAGCTTGACATAAATGTAAATATTAGAGCGTTGGAGCAAAAAGCTCAATTCAGTCCTATTGCTATCAGTAGAATACATTTCTTAAATCCAAGAATGCTAGTTTAGCTGAGCTTCAGTGCAGAATCCAGAAACTGATACAACCTTGTCTATAAATCCAAAGTATCTACAGATTCTATCCTTACAACAAGTCTATCCTTAGAATTATAGGCTTATCCTCAAACTTTCAGCAATGTAGCCTATCTAGGAAATCTGACAATAAATAGAAGCATAATGAGAAATGAGGAATGGAAATGGGGAACATGTTAAGACAAATGCACAGGATTAATTTAACTCAAATTAGATGATTATCTAAATTATATGATTATCTGAACTGATTATTCCAACTAGAACAAAAATTTCCATGCAAAAGAGCAGTTGCCTGACAAAAGGAATACTAAGGCTTCCAGCCACTCAAGTATTACAAAATATTAGCAATGCTAAGATCAACACTGCAGAACTGTTATTTTAACCAAAGCACAGGGACAGGATTAAACCCTATGAGCCACCTGCATAGGCCATCATGCAGCTCTCTCTTTCATAGCCTCCAAAATCCTAGCCTTCTGTTTTATTTAACTGTACTTTATATCTCTTAAGGCTGTTGAGATCTGTTTGGTTGCGCGCTTGCAAAAAGTATTTGGTTTATTTTTCCATGCCAAGTAGCCCATCATTGCAGAATTTGTAATCTATGCATATTTAAAGGCTACAGCTGCAATTCATTAGAAAGCTACATTATTGTATGAGCAGCCCTGGTTTCTCCATTGCCAGTTATGTACTACAAAAATCAAACCTGCCATCTCATAGCTAGCACTGAGCATTTCATATATGCTTGCAGCAGTGTGTCCTTTCATTTTACTTATCTAACTTCTGAACTTCATCAAAAGAGCTCAGGACTAGATCCAGCATATGATCCCATGTTATCCTCATAAAATTCTTGAGAGGAAGATTTGTCAGAGAGAACAACCAGTGGTGCTGCTCGGGCTGCACCAACAGGCACAAATCTGGAGCTCTGCAGTCCTTAGGGCCCACAAAAGCATCTCTCCACCCTGGCACTCTGTTCCTGCCTGCAACACTCCCTCATCTTCTAATATAGTCTTGCCAAGCAGCTTGGCCTCATTTAGCAGAGGTGGGAGTGCTGGCTTCACCACCTTGCCAGTCTTCCTGCCCACCTGGCCTAGTTTTCTTACCACGTTGTTGGGTGAGCTGTGGCTCTGCCGAGAGAACTCCAGAGCCCCTGTCCTGAAAGATGAAGGAAAACTCCACCAAAGTCCACCTGCTTGTGAATTGCCAACAGCTCCCAACTTGTTGCTGAAGCCCAACAGGAGTATGGCAGCAATGGCCCCTAAGGAGATGGCACCAAAGAGAACTGACCCTTTCGAGGAGCCACTTCAGGGGGATGAAAGGGTAAGGGCCCCTCTTCTTAACATTGTTGTCACTCTCTAAGTATTGGGAGGTGGGGGTAGGGATTCCTCCTGTATACTAGCCCTGTGCATGTGTAGTGGTGGTACAAGGTGGGGCCAAGTGATAGGGTGTCAATTTCTGTAGTGACAGGTAGAGGGAAATATGGCATTTGGGCTAGCCAGGTAAGAAGAATGTGGCCCAAGCAGCTAATGACTGTGATGTGATTTGGCCCTGCTTTCAACCATAGGTTTGGTAGTTGTTCTATCAGTCTTCCCCCACATATCCAGTCTGCCCCCACATGTTTTTAAATGACATATGGGTGCATAATAAGGTCTCCTTCATCCATGACTTAATAGTGTATGAGCCAGCCAACATAACATGTATAACCAAGACCTGCGTGAACATGCGGGAGTTAGTCTCTCCCAGCGCTGTCCAACAGGATACTTGCTAAAGGATCAAGGAAGTCTGGAGGGGTAGGAAGGGGTGGGTGTTGCCATGGTCTATAGGAATTCTATCTCTCCAGGCTCCTCCTTTGTCTGACTCCTAATCTGGGCCAGGAGAACAGATTGGGAATTCTGTTGGTGTACTGTCCATCACATGCCCCAAAAACCTCCCTAGCCTCCAGCTAACTGAGGTTGCCTCAGCTGCAATGTTGAAGTCTCCTGTGTCGTTGGTCTTGAAGGATCTCAATAACCTCACTGGGGATAACTTAACTGGAGTGGCTCAGGATTTCATGGACTCCATGTCAAACATGGAGTGTCCCAACATGTCAACGGCCCAACACATGTAGCAGGGCACACTCTAGATTTTTTTTTTTTTTTTTTTTTTAGCTGGGCATGGGGAAAGTGATCTGAAGGAGGGAGACTTTGAATCAGTCCCCTTGTCATAGTAAAATCACTGCCTGCAGAGATTAGAGTAATGGTGACTTTTCCCTTCTGCAGTGGTAGAAGGCCCATTAAAATGCTCTGCCTTGAAGGCTGATGGATCTAAAGCATTTCCAGAGGACTCTGAGGGAAATTCTGGCTACTATAGTTAACAGCCCTGTCAAGTCTCTGGCCAACCTCTGGAGCACAGAGTTGACCCTTGGTTGACATGATCCCTCCTGCACACTCTCTGTAGTTGAGTTTAGTATACCCTGTAGCTGAGCGTAATGAAACAAATTAGGAGATGGCTAGGATGCAGATGTAGACAAATTTCTAGTGGATACAATCAAATCCTGGTATGTACAGATAGTCCGAATATCCGACTGCCTCCAGTCAGTCTTCTCTGTGCTGCTTAATGGAGTTCAGGGTCTACTACCTGCTGGCCTGAAGGATGTCTTGGAGACATCTGAAGCCTGCTGTAATATATTTGCTAGGCACTTTAAGGATAAATTCTCCAACATGACTTGGACTCCAATGTTATAGTACTGGAGAGACATGTACTGCACAGCCTAGTCAGTAAATGAGTCTGAATTAGTACAGATCAAGGGTGTTGATAAGGTACTTAGACAGGTTCATGCAACCACTTCCATACTGTATTCTTGCTCCTTGTTGCTAAGAAATGCTAGCAGTGAAGAAACTGCTGGCTGGACCAGGAGGGTGATTAATGCTTTTTTACAAGAAAGAGTGGTTCCATGTCACCTGACACAGATGGTGGTAAAACTTCTGCTAAAGGAACCCTCTCTGGACCCAGAAGATCTCAATAATTTTAGACCCAGTGGATTCCTTTCCTGCGTATGGTACTTGAGCGAGTGGTTGCTGACTGGCTACAAGTGCTCTCAAAGGAGACTGACTATTGGGATCCATTTCAGTCAGGGTTCAGGCCTGGTTTTGGCAAGGGAACAGCCATATGATGACTTATGTCAGCAGCATGAAAGAAAGAGTGTGACTCTTTTGGTACTTCTGGACCCCTTGGCGGCTTTCAATACTATCAACCATGGTATCCTTTCTGGGCCAACTGTCTTGAGTGGGGAGTAAGTACTCCCACTGTTACTTGGATGGCTGCCCCCAGAAGGTGGTGCTTGGGGGAAATTTCTTTGCCCCTTGGACTTTCCAGTAAGGGGCTCCTCAGGAATTGGTCTTGCCCCACAAGCTATGATTTACAGCCACGTAGTACCACATATGTAACAGCAGCAGTTTGTGTCACATTTGTTAACTGTGACTCTGTTAACTGTCCAGCGAGCCCTTCGGCTGTTAGGCGGTATAAAAATGAAACAATGAAGCAAACAAACAATATTTATCACTTGTAAATCTGTTTAACTTAAAAAGGAAGCTCTTTATTTTAAGGAGACTTCTGCACTAGTTCAAAATTGTCCACATTATCCTTGGAAAGCAAATCTTCAATGCAAGCCAAGAATTCTTATTTATCTTAAAGGAAGTACTGTTGAAATTTAGCCACATCATCCAAATTACAGTATCAATTAAATGGATGAAGAGTAACATGCTGATGGTTTGTTTGCATTTTCTGCCAAAGATGACTCCTTTAACCACTAATCCAAGTCATTTTTTCTAGTAAAGTCAGGAGCTAGTAGGAGCCAACTAATCCCTTGCCTGAACCCTTTGTATGCAAATTCAGGCACTGAGATTAAATAGAAACACCTCCTCTAATGCACTGCAGAACCACTGCAGAGGTTAAATAGAAACA